AAAATGACAATTTCTCAAGATGCAAACTTCTTGACCACTTTCTCATATAACCCTTTCCCTGGACAAATAATTCCTACCATCGTGGGAGGAATAAAACCACAGAACCTGACAGGTAAGACCAACAGGTACAACTAGACATCTGTATCATATCTGCTTGCTGTAACAGGAGGTCCCTGGCCCCATTACAGAGATAGAAGAAAACAGGTATGGACGTTTATAAAGACAGACTGCGCCAGCTGGAAGGAGCAATCCCTCGGGGTTATATAAACCTAGCTCCTGCCACGGTCTGGCAGAAAGGTGAGGAGCTCTTATTGGCTAAAGCTGAGATAAGTTAGGCTCTGGAAACTGCAGTGGCGAGTAGTCCTGGGGAAAGCCCAGAAGTGACAGAGGAGGCCTAAGGAAAGGCCTGAGCTAGAATAAGTCTAGGCAAAACTGACCAAGCTTGGAGGCAACCTGACAAGAGGAACTTAAGCTGAGAGACAAGGGGCTATAAGGGAAGCTGCAGTTAGGAAACTGAGTGGACTCTCCAGAGTTTTGCCACTATTTGGAACAACTGAACAGCATATATTGTTTTTCCTAGTTGGGGGCTAGCCTTATTTGGGTAAGCTAGCCAGCTGGACTACTTTGGCAGGCATGCCATTTGGATGATTCTGGTTAACGAGCCTTTTTGACCTATTGCAAGGGTGGATGAAATCCCAGTGAGAAGGCAGGAGCTAATGAGGGCCAAGGGCCCTGTGATATAACAGAAAAGAGGCACCTAGAATGACTGCCCTCTGACCAAATGGAAGGCCTATACAGGAGATTGGGAAAATGGTGCATCTGTCTGGCAGCCAGACTCCATTTCCCAGCAGCCCCTGCCCACGTCACTACAGTCAATCTCCATGGAGATCCCAAAAGCCATGGGGATGTGACAGTGCAGGACCAGGGTCTCCATGGAGACTGGCCCAAGCGGTACTGGCAGGGCACATGGCTGGGTGGGGAGCTGCTCCAGGGCAGTGCCAGCCTGGGCAGAGCCACAATCTTGGGCAGAGCTGTGAAGGGGTGGGGCTGCTCACAGCACACAGCAGGAGGCTACAAGCAGCTCGGTTCTGTGGCCGGGCAGCACGGGCTTGCCTGGGCCTAGGCTGGCTGCGGCAGGCAGGCAGGAGGCTGCAAGCAGCTGCACTGGACTCCATGGAGCCCTGGCCTGGCTCCTTACCAGCAGCAGGTGCACATACGCCTCAGGGCCAACAGCAGAAAAGGGGAGGGGAAACCGCTGGGCCAGGGCTGGGTGGGTGGCAGCAGGGGGCTATAGCCCACCCCATAGCCACCTCTCCCAGTGCTGCCGCCACCTGCTCCAAGTACAGCCCCAGCCCAGCCTCTTCACTGGGAAGAGTCTGGCACAGCCCCTGGCCCTGAGCCTGCAGTGGGCAGCCCACCTCCACCCCACACAAATCTGGGGGGGGTACATGCCCCCCATTCCTCTCTGGGGGTGTGCACAGCAGCAGGCCCCCCTGGATGAGCTGCCCACAGAATCGCATTCACCACCTTGGCTGGGCAGCACCTGTCCCTGCCCCACTCCCTCCTTTCCTCAATGTGGGGGCCTCAATTGCCCCTCCTACACCCCTCCTCCCCCACTGCCCCTTCCCCCCCACAGATTAACTGCCAGGAGACTGCTCTCCAAATTTCCAGGCTGCATTCTTGTAAATTGGCTATCAGATTGGTATTGGCTAATATGGCTGGTTAAATAGATCATTGGTATCAGCCAAGAAAATCTTTGTCAGTGCACCCCTACCTATTACCATCAACATCTAGATAAATTTGCTGTGTAGATTGGATGCTTCATTGTCAGCTGAGGTACTAATGTTTCTTTAAGTCATGTTGGGACATTTTCTTGCTGAACATCCTTCTGTTTTCTTCAGCCTCTGAATAAGATGAAAAGACAGGACCTTGTATCTTAGCATGGTTCTCAGACTCTTGCTACTGTTCTTGAAAGCCACCCTGGCTGTTCAGGTATCCCTTGTAAACCTCTCAGACAGACAGCCCAATTCTCTATCTGCACCCTCACTGCTCTCAAAAAGCCCCTTACCTGTGAGGATGTCTGTCAGGAGACGGAGAGGTAAGTGAAGAAACTCTTCTGTATCCTGAAGCTGTGACAAGTGTGACTTGGCACAGTGCTTGGCAGCTGTGTAGAGCTCCATGTCACTGTGTTGATCTGCCAGCCACATGACCTGCAGACAGTTTCTCACCTGCACTGTGCGGGCCAGGAAACGGGAGCACTCCTCAAAAAGGGAAGTCAGCTGGTACATGTCTGCCACTTCATACATCTCCTGTAGCTCCTCTGCCCTCAGCTTTACCGTTCCATGGTAAATATAGTCCACAAGAAGCTGGAAGACACTCTCACTAACGTCCTGCAGCTCAATCACCCGGTTGTGGGCCTCCTTGAGATTAGAAGTAAACATGGAACGAAAGAAGCAACTCTGAGCTGAGAGGACAAGCCGGTGCAACTGGAATTCTTTGCCTTCCACTGATATTGTGACGTCAGCAAAGAGCTCATCCTCCAGGCACAGCTTCATAATGCCCTGGGCCACACGGCCTGAGTGAGATCGGTCAGTGAAGGTATAGTTCACAAAGTAGTTCTCTTCCATGGAGGAACCCCCAGTCTCCTCCGATGAGTCCATGTTGCTGCACAGATCTGACCTCCAGTAATCTATAAAACAACAATGGCAGTAAAACTCCTCCTGAAAAGGAGCTTGTGCAATTCCAAAAGCTACTAACACTGGTAGGTAAGCCAGCAAACTGCAGCCCAAGTATAAATTTGGTTCTTTATACTTCTACCTGAGTTGCAGAGCCTCTAAAAGGCCAAGGCAAAGGTGAAAGCAGTGTAATTAAAATCAGGTTAAAGTCAAGCCGTGGCTCTCCTTGTAGCACTAGTATCAGAGAGCAATCCCAATATCCTAGCTTCTGGAAATGGCAGGCATAGATCTCTTTCCCCTTTCATCTCACTGACTCAGAGAAATGCAGCAAGAGACCTCTGGTACACAGGATGAGTATCCAGCAACTTACAACATAATACATTCCTAACCACCAGGCTTTGCGACAGGTGGATTTGAAGCAATAATGGAAGCTCCTGGCTCCATTACAAAAAGATGGAGGAAAAGGGATCTGGGCTGTTAAGAGCCAGTTGCACGGGCTACAAGGAGCAGGTCTTGGGGCTATACAGGCCTAGCTCCTGCCAGAGCTTGGTAGAAGGGCCCTGATAGCAGAAGGAAGAGGGACTTCCTGCTGGCTAAAGTTCTGGCAATTTAGCCCATACCCAGGCCTACTCACCACACAGTATCCAAGGTCTAAGACAGGGAAAGCTCAGCAGCAACAGAGAAGGTCTGAGGAAGGACTAGAGCTGGGATAAGCCCAGCAAAGATTAATTGATTTTGGAAGCAACTTGACAATAGGCAGCCAAGAGGCATGGGGCAGATGGAAGGGGAGCAGGGAGGTTGCAGTATGGAAGCCCAGCAGGACTGAATAGACTCTTGAGTCTTTCCACCACTACTTGGGACAAATGAACTGTGTGGACAAATCTCTTAATTTAGGGTCTAGTTTCCTTGTTTGCAGGGGAGTGAGCCTTTGAGACTACTTTGGAGTAAGCCATTTGGACTGTACTGGCAAGGGACCTGTTTGAATGATTTGGAGGGTGAATGAATGAACTGCCAGTCAGAAGCCAGTGAGGGCCAAGGGGCCCTATGGTCCAACAGTGGAGATGCACACAGAGTGCCTACCCTCTGATGGAACTAAAGGCCTATACCAAACAGTAACATCAAATGTGGCAAACAAGTACGTTAAGCATCTGGGCATTCAGGTGGGTGGGCAGGCTGAGGTTGGTCCAAGGGAGCAGCAGTGAGCCCTAGGGCCTCAAGACATACCCTATTACATTAGTGCTCTGGCTGGAAAATGTGTAGTTGGAGAAACTTCTGGAATACAAGAACCCAAGGATGGAACAGATCTTACATTTACAGGCTCAACAATAGGCTGATACTGCCAAATAATGGAAAACAGAAAGGGAACAGGCCAGAGGCAGCATCATATCACAGCAGCATCAATAAAAGGAAAATTGATATTATCAGAAATCAGCTCTTTTTGGCTGATGTGGCCAACAATGTTGCTGATAAATGCTGCATGCATGCATGCATGCATGCATGCAGCCTCAGCATGCACAAGGCCATTGCAGCAGCTAACAGAGCAGCATCTGGCTGGTAAGTCTGTTGAGGGGGGAGGGGCGGAGGGAGGGAATGGAAATGGTGGGGGTGGCAGATTGAGGCCCCTGCAGTGAGGGAGGGAGTGGGGCTGGGGCAAGTACTGCCCAGCCAGGGAGGGGTGCAGGATGGAGCTGCGAGAGGCTCATCCGGGGGTATGGGAAGGGAGGGTGGATTCCACCGCTACATGCACCCCAGGGGAGCCATGGGGGGCATGTGCCCCCCCCCAGATTTGTGCGTGGGGTGAGGGTGGGTTGCTGCTGCAGGCTGGGGCCGAGGGTGCCACTGGGCTCTTCCCAGTGGGGGGGTTGGGTTGGGGCGGTGCTCAGGGCGGGCAGCAGTGGTGCTGGGAGGGGGGCTACGGCAAATGCTGGGGTGGCTGTAGCCCCCCCTGCTCCCCTCCCCCCATGCTACCACTGCCTGCCCTAAGTGCAGCCCTGGCCCAGCCCCCATACCAGGAAGAGCCTGGCATGCCCCCAGCCCATAGCAGCATCCCACCCTCGCCCCACACACAGAGCTGGGGGCCACATGCCCCTCACGGCTCCCCCACGGGTGTGCATTGTGGTGGAATCCCCCCACCCCCACGAGCCACACAGCTCTGTCCTGCACCCCTCCCTGGCTGGACAGCACCAACACCTGCCCCTGCCCCACTACCTCCCTCACTGCAGGGGCTTCAATCTGCGCCCCCCTCCACCCCCACCCCTTCCCTCTCCAACAGACTTACCAGCTGAATGCTGCTCTCCAAGCTGACAGGCGGCATACTGGCAATCGGATCAATATTGCCTGATATCGGCCATTGGTATCAGCCCAAAAAACCTTTATCAGTGCACCCCTGGAATAGGCCTAAAAGAATTGGGTCCTGCTGCTGCAGGTGATACAGGGGCAACAGGATAGGATAGAGGAAATGCCACGATGGCAGTTACAAGCTGAGGTTCAATGAGCCCTGCTGACTCAGCAGCAGATGTTAATAGAGTGCTTTACCACCCAGGAGCAAGGACAGCAGGACCCAGAGGATACATCCTGGAGAGAACTAGGGGGCTTCATCCTAGAAAAGATGACCCAGAATAACGACCTTAAGGCTTTTCTTAGAGGTACCTGAGCATGCAATAGTGGCAGCCCAGTGGAGCAAGGATACACAGGCATCCTGGTTGGGAACCTTCAATCAGAGAAGCTGAGGATACATACAGAGTAATGCTATACAAAGATGTTCAGGATTATGAAAAGGTCAGAGTCCATATTGCAGCAGTTGGGAATCTTCAAGGAGAGCCAGCAGCACTGCTTCTGATCTAAGACAACCCAGGCACCACTATGACCATGTTTGCTGGGACACGCAGGTGGAGGTCGTTCCTAGAGAACAGCATTGAGCTTGAGGAGAGCCTCAAGCCACACCCTGTTACAGAAACCAACAAATTAAAGATACTATGAAAGGTCTATCGGTAGTACAGAAGAAACAAAGTTGAGATGTGATATGTTGGCAAGGGACAGAGGCTACAGTTAATAGCAACATAGGTAGCTAACATGCAGAGGGAGCTTATTTCTACTGATAAAAAGGGTGAAAAAAATCCTACAAAACTTTATCAAAGTCCTAAAATCACCCAGATGAGAAACTTGCCAAAGGTACAAGAATGGGATACAGTTTGTGTAGAGTCAAATATGAAGCACATTCTGAAGATCCCATGCCCAACCTAAATGGATTAGATAATGAAGCATATTCAAAGAACTACTCATAACTAAGAAGGTGCAATTATCTGTGTGCTCCCCCACTGACAGGGAGAAGTGACATGACAGAGTAGTGTCTCTCTGGCAGAACAAAGATTACACTTGGAATCCCAGCAGTCGGCAAAAGAGCTCCTCTGAAGAGGAGCTGTTGCTAAGAGGGGCACAAGCTACTTGCTCTTCCTTCATATAGTTCCTGCTAAGCTGTTGAGGAATTCTAGTGTCAGCACCCCAGAAGTTTCCTTTCAACAGCAGGACATGGTCTCATTTAAAAAAAGTTTGTTCAAACTTGCTCTAAACTCTTCCATATTACAGCAGGAGACTAGATTTCCAGCCCCACCTATGACAGTCAGTACCATTAAGGCCAAATTACTCCAAATCCAACACTATTTAATGACTTCAGTGGGACCAAGATTTCACCCAAGGAGTTGGCAGACACTGTGCAGTCTCTTCTAGTTGAAGACTCGCACTCAATTGCTCAGCTCAGTCCAGAGGGTTAGGAGTATCCCTGGGTTCTTTGCTAAAACTAAATTAACATGCAACAGCAGCCATGAGCAACACTTACTATCATCTAGGCTTGGAAAAACAACTCCATCCCATCACTGATGACTTGGCCTCAGTTATATGCCTTTGTTACTTCCTGGTTGAACCACATGCGTCTCATACATCTGGCCCTGAAGACATCTCATATGAAATTCCAATAAGCAAAGAACACACCAGCACTCTCCTCTGTAGGGAAGCTATTGCAAGCACAATTGTGTCCTCTACACTAGCCTAGCAATTTGAGTTCAAGGCCTTGGTACTTTATCTTCAGTACATTCAGCACCCTGAGCCTAACATACCTGACAAGATCCCCTAAAGCTCTGGAATGCAAATGAATCAACACCTTTTGGCTAACGTAAAATGCTCTGCAATAGAGGTAGCATTCACCTGGGCAGGAGGCAGTTTTCTCATAGGCTGGTACCCAACTCTAGAACAAACTCCACGAGGAATTAAGGGCAACAAATCTCTTGCCTTCATCTTAAAGCATGAGATTCCCCTTTGTTAATCTTGCCTTCTCCAAAACAAAAAGGAAAGAGCTGGATGTGAAGGGGATACCAGGAGTACGGGCATTGTGCGCACAATTCCCCCCTAGCAAAGAGGAGGCTGGAAAGAGCCAGCGGGGAGGGATGGAGGCCAACCGTATCACGTGATGTATGACTTCATGGTGGCCAGGCGCTGCGGGGGCCAGGCCCCTTAGCAGAGGCCCCCGGACAGAACAGCTTCGGGCAGCCCTTGTATCAGCCGGTTGAACAGAAACGACCCAGCTCGGGGGTGGGGTGGGGGGGTGAGGGAACCACGGGGTCCGACTCCTGCAGCCCCGACGCCGGGGGTACCTGCGATTCCTCCCTGCCGCTCTTCCCCCCGGCCCAGGCACCAGCTGCAGCCTCCTCCGGGCCGCGGCGGGAGCTCCGCGCCTCTACCGGCTCGGTAATGGCCGCCCACTGAGGCCTCTCGGAGCCTCCCGCGCGGGCCCGTCCGGGCACCCGCCTCTGACAGCCCCAGCCCCGGCCCCACGCCCAGCTGCCGCCCGCGGAGGGGCCGAGGAGACAAAAGGGCGGACCCGGCGGTGGTCCCCAGGCTCCTACCTGCGGCCCCTCCCTTCATGCCGCCGCCCGGGCCCGGGGGAACCCCACAACGCTGCAGCTGCCACCCCCGCCAGGCGCCGTGCCGCTGTGATCCGCGCTCACACTTCCGGCCCCGCCACCGGAAGCCCCCTGGGGAAGCCAAAACGCGTTGGACCCCGCACTTCCGATCCGCTGCGCGGGGAAACTCGCGGACAGCTTCTGCTTCCGGTCCGTGCCCTTGTGTGTCCGTGCTCGCGGTGCAGGGCCGGGCCGGGATGTTGGCAGCGGCGGTGCGGGGCCTGGCGCGGGCTGGGTTCCGAGGTGAGGCGGGGAATGCGCGGCTGTTCCGCGACGGGGCGGGGCCAGGGCAGAGCCCCAGGGGGGGAGGGTGCAGTGGGGCAGTCCGCGGGGGGAGGCAGGCCTGGGATGAGGGCGTAGTGGGGCAGTCGCCCCTCCCCTCCCCTCCCCTCCGCTTTATTCCTGTCAGACCACCCGGCTGGGAGGCGCCGCAGCCCCACTGGCTCAGGGTCATTCAACTCCCGCTCTTCTGAGCAGGTGCATCCGCTCCTCTCTCCTTGGTGGCAGTGCGACCTTGGCCCCGCTCAGACTGCCCTTTCCTTGGCTTCTCATGGACCCCTCCTGGCAGCGCTTCTCTTTTCTGTCGCGGCCGAGCACGAGCTGTCAGCCTCGGCTGAGGGCTGGCAGTGCAAACTCGGATGTTAAACTGACTGGCCAGGGAGTCCCAAGGTTGCTGCCCAGATGCTTGTGGTGTGAGCTGATAAAAACCTAGGATTCTGTACTAGTCTAGGGAGTGACACAACACCTCGCTGGATGAGTGATAGAAAGGCTTTATTTACTACAAGTACTCAAAGTCAAATGAGCCCAAACCCAAAGTCCAGTAATTAGCTGTAAGGTGGTGATTTCTCACCAAACAGGTGGCAAGAAAGACAGTCTATTTCATCCGGCTTCTCGAGATAGCTGGGGTGCAGCATAAGTTCTTGTTAGAGAGATCTTTCATTCCTGAAGCGCTCGCTGTTAGCTGTTTTCACATTGTTCTTATACTCTTAGTCCAGCATCTTCAAAGCATTATTTTGGTTGTGTAAATCAAGCGAGTCCCAAGCAGTAATTGACAGGAAAATCCTGTTAATCAAACTGCTTGTTATGGGTTATCAGAAAGTTCCAGTCTGAATGAATGACCTTTCTCAGTGATGAGAGATCAATTTCTACTAAGTTTGGAACATATCAAGAAACTGATTAACAACCAGGAAAACCACAAGGTTTTGGGGAGCGTCTTTGGAAAATTAAGGGAACCACTAGACAAAACAGAAATAAATCAAGAGACAACATCTGTCATATATGGAGAATGACTCCTCCTGTACAAAACATTAGTTAATTGCAAGAGAAATATTTACCATACTAATTAATGAAGGATAGACCTTTCACATGGTTACATACCAGACAACTAGGAGTCTGCTTGAAATCACCATGAATATAGTAAGGTAAGCTGGAAGGGATAGCTCATTGTTGCTTCCCAGATGGCCTTGCCATGAACTCGCATCCTCTTGCACTATGCAGTTAGCATCAGTATTTTGTGTTTTAACTTTGTGTGTAGGCCCCAATTTAGCATGAGTTTCAGAGTTATCATTGGGGCCAGATTTGGTTTCACAAATCTGAACAAGAGACATGATGGAGGGACTAGACGTGTTCAAATCAGCAGGTCCCAACGATTTCCACCCCAGAGCGCTGAGGGAACTGGCAGAGGTCATTGCGGGACCGCTGGCACAGCTTTACAAGCACTCATGGTGCTCTGGTGAGGTGTCAGAGGACTGGAAAAAGGCCAATGTGGTCTCCATTTTCAAAAAAGGGAGAAAAGAGGACCCAGGAAACTATAGGCCTGTTAGTCTTACCTCGGTCCTAGAGAAGCTTTTTGAGAAAATTATCCAGGAGCACATCTGCAAGGGACCAGCAGGGGAGATTATGCTTGGAGGCAATCAGCATGGATTCATTAGAGGCAGGTCCTGTCAGACCAGCCTGGTTGCATTCTACGACCAGGTCACAAAAGCCATGTCACGGTGGACGTAGTCTTTCTGGACTTTAGAAAGGCCTTCGACACTGTCTCTCAGCCCATCCTCATTAAAAAAATTAGGCAACTCGGTGTTGATGCCTACACAGTCAGATGGGTCACAAATTGGCTGGAGGGCCACACCCAGAGAGTGGTGGTGGATGGCTCATTTTCGACCTGTAGGGACGTGGGCAGTGGGATTCCCCAGGGTTTGGATCTCTGGCCCGCACTGTTCAATATCTTCATCGACGACTTGGACAAGGGGGTCAAAAGCACCTTGTTCAAGTTCGTAGATGACACTAAGATGTGGGGAGAAGTGAGTACGCTAGAAGAGAGGGACAGGCTACAACTAGATCTAGACAGGTTACAGAGGTGGGCAGATGAGAATAGGATGGGTTTCAATATGGACAAGTGCAAGGTGTTGCACCAGGGGAGGAAGAACCAGCAGCATACCTACAGGCTGGGGAATTCCCTTCTTGTCAGTGCACAGGCAGAAAAGGATCTTGAAGTCATTATTGATGCCGAGATGAACATGGGCCACCAATGTGGGGACGTAGTCAGGAAGGCTAACTGCACCTTGTCATGCATCCACAGATGCATCACGAGCAGGGCCAAGGAGGTGATCCTTCCCCTCTTTGCGACATTGGTCAGGCTGTATGTGGAGTACTGCATCCCGTTCTAGGCGTTGCACTTCAGGAGGGATGTGGAAAGCATCGAGAGGGTCTAGAGGACGGCCACTCGCATGATCAGGGGGCAGCAGGGCAGCCCCTATGAGGAGAGACTACAGGACCTGAACCTGTTCAGCCTCCACAAAAGAAGGCTGAGAGGGGATCTGGTGGCTACCTGCAAACTTGCCAAGGGGGACCAGCAGGCAATGGGAGAGTCCCTGTTCCCTCAAGCACTACTGGGAGTTACAAGGAATAATGGCCATAAGCTGACTGAGAGTAGGTTCAGGCTAGACATCAGGAAGCACTACTTCACAGTCAGGGCGGCTAGGAGCTGGAACCAACTTTCTAGGGAAGTGGTGCTCACTCCCACCCTGGGGATCTTCAAAAGGAGGCTAGACAGTCACCTAGCTGGGGTTGTTTGACCCCAACATTCTTTCCTGCCCATGGCAGGGGGGCGGACTTAATGACCTGCTTAGGTCCCTACCGACCCTACCAGCTATGAAACTATGAAAGCACCATGTCTGTCTGTCTTGTTTGTCAACCTGCAAAAGTTTCTCTTTAACTGGAGAGAAGTATGTGTTGGGCTATACATGATGATGCACTGCACCACCTTGCACCCTGCCCCACCCTTTTCAAAATCCTGTATCCACCCATGATGACTTGTACCTGTCTGCAGAGCACACTGGGGCTTTCTCTTGGGTTCATGAAGTTGATTCTGTTGATACTGATGGAAGCTCCCAGATGTCATTCCCATGTGCTGGGGAGGGGAAGGGGGTTCACCTCTCCAAGAGGAGGCAACAGAAGGGAGACTCGTTGCTGGAGAGAAGGGAAAAAGGCTTTGTATTTTTTGCAGAAGAGTGGTTATGGGTGATTTTACACAAGCTCTTTCTCTTTATAGCTGCTACGTGCCCTGCAGTGTGGCAGCAAGCACGTTGCTTGGAGAGCTCCACAACAGAGACCCATCGTAAGTCTGTCTGAATTCATTACTATTTTGCCAGCCCCTGGAGGCCACATAGTGAGTCTCATAGAATAACTCAGTAAGGTGGCTTTGTTATCAAAATCTCAGTGTTTTTGCAGTGATGCGTTTTCGGGGCGGTGACGAAGAGCATACATAAACGTGTGCTTTTTTAAAGCATGCTAGAGTTGCAGAGTGCTAGCTCTGACTCAGTAATAGCATTTGCATATTTCTCAGTTTTTTTTCTTGTAAATTAGTGAGTTTATCATAAAACACTCTTTATTGTTAACTTGCACTTAAAGCAAAAAAGTCAACCTCTTTCATCCTGTTCCACTGATGAACATAATTAACTTAATTCTGTATTTAAGTATCTCTTGAACAAATATCTTGTAGTTTTAAAAATATTAGATAATTTTAAAAGATAGTTTGGGTGCTGACAAGAAATTGCTCAGATGCTAAACAGTCACAGGGAAAACAGACCCTCTAGGTAACAATAGGGATAATATGGTCACTTTATGACTTTATATGGTTGCTGTATGACTTCAGTGGGGGGAAGGGGGATGGAGGAGGATTGCCCCTCTTTAGAATCGTCCTGGATATTGGTGGGAAACATTTTCTAAAGGGTTTAACAACCTACATTCTTTCTCATTTTCATCCTCTTTTGATTGATACTGTACCAAACACATTTGGTCATCCTTGGTGGGATGTGAGCAGTTTCAGATTGGTGGTGAGAGGATATTTTGTTGTCTGCAACCTCATGGATGAGCGCTGGAATAAACTTGCTCTTTTCCCAGAGTCTCTATTTCCTGTCTGTTCTGTGCATCCTGTTAGTTGACACAGTCTGGACTCTTATGTTCTTTTTGGGCTTCGTAGTTAACTATTTCATTTTGGCAAGCTGTGAGTGTGGTTTTTTAGGGATGGCTTATCTCACCTGGAAATTGTCTCCTTAGGGGTTACTTACTGTGAGACAGTTCTCTGGCTAAGCTAGCAGAAGCTAACCTTTGTTAGTTTTGGCTGGAAGATGTTGTTGCTCTTCTTTCTAATGGCATTTCACCTACCATTGTTCTTTTCAGCTACCATTAGACCAAAGGATGAAGTGCAGCAAAAGCAGCTCTGTGCTTTTGGAGAGTATGTGGCTGAAATTCTGCCCAAGTACATCCAGCAAGTTCAGGTAATTACTACCAAACAAATTATTTTAGCTTCAGGAAAGTACTGTCCCCTTGTTGAGAGGAGAGAGAAAACGTGATAGTCACTAGAAGCCATTTCTTTGAGAGAGTTCCTTGGTCTGTACCTGACCACCTGTTCCAAATTCTTTGCTTAAGTCTTCTGTTGGATTCAGTAAACTGCTAAATGCCCTGCCACATCTGTCTTAACTTCCTTTTTGTTCCTTTCCTCAGGTGACCTGTTTCAATGAATTGGAGATCTTGATCCATCCAGATGGGATCATTCCAGTTCTGACTTTTCTTCGAGATCATACCAATGCCCAGTTCAAATCCTTGGCTGACTTGACTGCAGTTGATGTCCCAACTCGGCAAAACCGTTTTGAGGTAGGGACCATTCCAGTGGTATTGGTGTTGCCTTAGCAAGTAAGCATGGAATCAGCTCTACTACTGATATGCCTTTAGCAGGACTAGTTAAATAGGAACCCAGTCCAGCTTTTCCCCTGTCACTTTGCTGAAACTGCTTCTGTAATGACTTCTTCCTAACCAGATCTTTGGAACTAGTATTTCTTCTCCATCATCTTTGACTAGTCAGTTGCTTTTGAAACATTTAACTATGCTCTTACTGAAATCTGGTGCTCCCTTGCCTTCCACAATTCTCTCCTTTTCCAGTTCTCTTCCTACCTTCTTGTTTTGTCAACCTGTCCTTCAGGAGTTCCTCTTTATATCCCTTCCAGGTTTTGTGGGGGTTTCACAGGGCTCTTTCCTTGATTGCCATCTCTTTCTCATCTACACCTTGTCTTTGAGTAACCTCATTTACAAATACAAATTAATTACCGTCTACATGCTTATGACTTGCAGATCTGCCTGTCTACCCCAGACCTCTTTCCTTCTGTCCAGACTAAGATCTCAGACTGTCTCTAATAATCTTCTGTTGGATGACTGACTGTCATCTGAAACTAAAATGGATGGCTAGAAATGAGTCTCTGACTGTTTGTTTCTTTCTACCTCCTTTCTTGATCATTGTGGACAACACTACCATCCTACTGGGCACTTGGACCTTTTGTCTTTTCACCAGCCACAGTTCTTCCAGATTCTCATCTCAGTTACTCAATATTCTATTTCCTGACCTTGACGAATGTTATCTTCTGTGTTCCCATATTCATTTAAAATGCTGCTGCAAAGATCAGTTCACTTGCTGTCTGATTTGATCATATTGTCTCTGCATCCCTTCACCAGCTCCCCACACTTTACACATCAAACAGAAGCTAGTTGTTATCACTTGCAGGCCTCTTGGGTCATGTTTCATAGATTCATAGATTGTAAGCCTGGAAGGGGCCTCAGAAGATTTCATAGATTTTATAGACATTAGGGCTGGAAAGGACCTCAAAGATCATCAAGTCCAGCCCCCTGCCCCAGGGGCAGGAAGTCAGCTGGGTTCACAGGATCCCAGCAAGATAAGCATCCAAGCATTTCTTGAATGAGTCCAGAGTAGGTTCTTGCACCACTTCTGGAGGGAGTCTATTCCAGGTCTTGGGGGCTCAGACAGTTAAGAAATTTTTTCTTGCGTCCAGTCTAAAAGTCTTGGAGGAGTTTTTGACTGTTGGTCCTTGTTTTTCCTTGGGGCGCTCTGGTGAACAGATGTTCTCCCAGATCCTGATGTACACCCCTTGTGTACTTATAGGTAGTCACCAGGTCCCCCCAGAGCCTGTGCTTTTCCAGACTGAAGAGTCCCATGGCTCTCAGCCTTTCTTCATAAGGCCTATTCTCTTGCCCTCTCATAATGTGCGTGGCTTTCCTCTGGACTCTCTCAAGTTTCTCAACATCCTTGAATTGCAGAGCCCAGAACTGGATGCGGTACTCCAACTGTAGCCTTGCTAAGGCTGAGTACAGCAGGAGGATGACATCCTGAGATTTACTTGAGAAGCATCTATAGATGCAAGCCAGGGTTTTGTTTGTTTTACCAGCTGTGACATTGCATTGGTGGCTCATGTTCATCTTGTGGTCAATCATGACCCCCAAGTCTCTTTCAGCCATGGTGCTAGCGAGCATAGCACTGCCGAGCCTGTAAGTATGCTGCTGGGTTTTTTTCCCTGAGATAGAGTACTTACCATTTATCAGTATTGAAAGTCATCAGGTTTGTGCCCGCCCACTTACTAAGTTTATCCAAATCAGCGTGGATCACTAGCCTGTCCTCAGGTGTAGATGCTGTGCCCCAAAGTTTAGTGTCATTGGTGAACTTAGCCAGTGAGCATCTGACACCAATGTCCACATCATTGATAAAGATGTTGAAGAGAACCGGTCCAAGGACAGAGCCTTGGGGGACGCCACTGGTTATGAAGCGCCATAATGACTCGTTGCCATCGACCACTACTCTCTGGGTCCGACCTTGGAGCCAATTTCCCAGCTGTCGGACTGTGGTGTAGCCGCGGCCACAGTTGGCCAATTTTTCTATGAGGCGGTCATGAGACACCAAATCAAAGGCTTTTTTTAAAGTCCAGATATATGACATCAATCTCTTCTCCCTTGTCCAGGTGATGTCACCTGGTCATAGAAGGAGATGATATTGGTCAGGCAAGACCTACCCGCAACAAATCCATTCTGGCTATCCCTCAGGATGTTGCCCTCAGACAGCTTGTCCAGAAGGGTCTCCTTGATAATTTTCTTGAGAATCTTATCAGGGATTGAGGTCAAGCTGATTGACGAGTAATTCCCAGGATCTACTTTCTGCCCTTTCTTGAAGATGGGTACCACGTTGGCCTTCTTCCAGCGCCATGAATTTTCGAATATTTTTGCCAATGGTTGAGCTATGACACCTGCCAGCTCCTTGAATACCCTGGGGTGTAATCTGTCAGGACCAGCTGACTTGAAGGTGTCCAGCCTCTCAAGGTGATTCTTTACTAGAACAACACCGATGCTGGGTATAAATACGCCCTCACCCTGGCCGTCCCATGTCTTGCTAGGCAGGGTGGTCCCATTGGACTGATGAAAGACTGACGCAAAGTACCCGTTAAGCAGGTTGGCCTTTTCCTGGGTGTTGGTTATCAGCTGTTCTGTTTGGTTCAGCAGGGGTCCAATGTTACCCTTGCTTTTTTTCTGACTCCCTGAATATCTGAAAAAGTACTTTTTGTTATCCTTGATATGTGAAGCCAGACGGAGCTCGGTTGCAGCCTTGGCTTTCCTGATCCGCTCCTTGCAGGTATGGAGCAGTGCTGAGTACTCCTTGGTGGTAATTCCAACCTTCCATCCTTTATAAGTCTCTCTTTTGAGGCGTAGGAGGTCCTCGAGTTCCCTGCTGAGCCAAGGGGGTTGCTGTGCCCTTTTGCTACCCTTCCTCCAAGATGGGATGGCCGTCCCTTGTGCTGTCAAGGTCACTCCCTTGAGGAGCAACCACTCCTCTTGGACTCCTCTTCCAGTCAAGTTGTGGTCCCTTAGAGTCTCGACAGTGAGCCTCCTGAGCTTGTCAAAGTCAGCTTTCCTGAAGTCGAGGACTTCAGTATTGCTGACGGACTTGCCAGCTTTGCAATGGATAGTAAAGGTGATCAGCTCATGGTCACTATCACCCAGCTTTCCATCGATTCTTAGGTCGCTGACTATGTCATCCCCTTTGGCCAGTACCAGGTCCAACAACGCTTTGTCTCTCTTCAGCTCGTAGACTTCTTGAGTCGGGTAGAGCTCATCTGTGGACATGAGGAAGCTTTGCTACTGATCAGATTTGGCCAAGTGCTCTTCCCATGAGATGTCCAAGTAGTTGAAGTCTCCCATGACAACCATGCACTGAGAGCATGCAGCGTCAGCCAGTTCCCTGGAGAATTCCTGGTCTAGCTCTTGTTTCAGGTTCGGAGGTCTGTAGTAGACTCCTACCATGATGTCCCCTGAGCCACATTCCCCACGTATTTTGACCCAGAGAGACTCCAGTGATCCCTCCTGGGTACCAATGTCAATTTGGAGGGATGTGTAGCTGTCCTTGACATAGAGGACTGCACCCCCACCCCTTTTATCTGCATGATCACACCTGTACAGGGTATGGCCATCTATAACTGTGGCCCAGTCATAGGTGGAGTTCCACCAGGTCTCCATTATCCCTATGAGGTCGTAGTTATTCTCGTTTAGCAGGAGGATCAGTTCCTCCTGTTTATTCCCCAAGCTCCTGGCATTGGTGTACAGGCAGGCAAGTGTCCCACTGGGGGCTCTTGCCTTCTCCACAGATCGTACCAGGGCTAGGGTAGGGGTGGGTTCCCTTAAGTGCCTCAGCCTACTGGATTTACAAGGGTTGCCCAGCGGGCTAGCAGTGGCGATAATCCCCACAACCCCCAGTGGGCTTAGTTTAAAGCCCAGTCGAGCGGGTCAGCCAGTCTGGATGAGAAGAGCCTTGTCCCCAGCGGAGTGAGGTAGAGGCCATCTCTTCCCAGCAGTCCACTCCCTCTCTCACCAAAGTGGACTGCGCCAAAGCCTTCACGATGACACCATCGCTGCAGTCTTTTGTTCACTACCTCAACCCATCTCTCCCTTCTCAGCCTATGACACACAACTGGGAAGAGCAAGGAAAAGATCACCTGCGCCCCTAAGCCCTGTAGTCTCTCATGACCTGGCTGGGATTGCTCCAAGCCGTGTCATTTGTGCCTATGTGGATAAGGAGCAGTAGTGGTATAAGGATAAGGAGCATAGGGTAGTGGTCGGGGGAACGATAATCTTTGGTATCCTCTCTACTATGTCCTTGATGTGGGCCCCCGGGAAGTAGCAGACCTCCTGGGCCGGGGGGTTGGGGCAGCAGATTACGCCCCCTCAGGAGGGTGTCTCCCATGAAGACCACTCTGCGTTTACTCTTGGGGGTGTAGAGGTGGATGATCTTCCCTTGCCTGCAGGAGCTGGCATGTCTGCAGGCTCAGAGATGCCAGATCATTGGGTCCAGCCCCCATGCAGGAAAGACAACTGGAGTCAGGTAACCCCAGCAAGATGAACATCCAGTCTCCTTGAAAATTTCCAGGGTAAGTGATTGTACCGCCTCTGGAGGGAGCTTATTCCACAGTCTGGACACCCTGGCTGTGAAGAAGTTTTTCCTAATGTTGAGTCTGAAATGGTTTGTGGCCATTAATCTTGGCTTTCCCCAAGGGTGCCCTGGTAAACAGTTGTACACCGAGCCCTGATGTAGCAGTAATCTGCTACCAAGTCCCCTCTCAGCTTTCTCTTTTTCAGGCTGAAGTGTCCCAGGTCCCTCAGCCTGTTCTTGCATGGCAAGCCATACAGGTCTGTGTGACCCAACTCTTGTTGTGTCTCGGTCAGTAATGAGAAGCTGACTCCTGTCTTCTCTCAGGCCATAATACCAGACTCCATTGTCTTTTTGCTATCTATTCAGATAAGCATCTCTGTACTTACTCTCACATGTCCCCTCATTCTTGGTAGGAGATCCCTAGAAAGCTCCTCAAAGCCAATTCATGGTTTGTCTCGCATCCTTTCTTACTGTTTCCTTGTACTTACCCAGCTCTCGATGTATAACTATCTATTTTTCATCTTATGCTTTGACTGAAGAGTTCTTGGGTTGAGGATTGTAACAGGTCACCTGATACGGTGCCTGTCACAGGGAGAAAAGAGGATACACCAGCAGGAGCAAAGGAAAAAAAACTTATTTGCGGCTGGACCATGGGGGAAAAGTGAGACAATGCTGAGCACCGGAAGCCCAGGTGCTCCCAATGAAGTACTATCTGGAACCCAGCAGGGCTGTATGTGGAAGCAGGGCCAAGATGGATTGGCTCTTGAGGGAGGAGCCAGAAGGTAAAAGGGAAACAGAGAGAGGAGACAGATTGCCCCTGGGCAGGGGTCAACCACAGAGAGAGGGTCTGTGGCAAGGAGCAAGCCCAGATCTGCAAGCAGGGCAATTCTGGAGACACAGGTACTTGCTGGGTGGAGAGGAGAGGTCTAGGAGGAATGCTGAGCTGGAGGAAGTCTTACCCTGTGTGCATGAGAGCAGGATATGCCAGAGTGAGGAGCAGCAGGGTGAAAGGCACACCCCCTCTCCTCTGTCTGGGGGGAAAACCCAGGGAGAGAGAGGTTGCAGCAGACAGGTG